AGCTTTGCAGGCTTGCTTAGAGCTGCAAAGCTGCTTAGGAACGGCTTGTCCCAAATTTTAGCCAAATTAATTAACGAATCTCATTTCACTTATGCTCGTTTTAATCAGTAAGATCAGCCGCAAGCTGGTACAGAGTCGGATTTTCCATTTTGGCTCTTAAAAAATTTATAATAAATAAAATACGGACTCGCAGCTAAGCAACCCGACAGAGGTCGGTAGTGTTACTCCTGTCGACCCTTAATCATGCATTATTGCATAATTAAGTGATCCACTAGAATTTTGTTTACAAAATGGCAGAATGTAACAAACTTGGCTATATTAAAAATATATTTAATAAAAGTACATTGCCTTCATGTACAAAATGGCTGCTGAAATATTGACAAATTGATAACCAACTTTTAATAAATTTAAGTTAATTTTAATTATTAATTGATTGTAGACTGGAGATTTAGAGAGCGCAGATGTTATCGACTATTTAAAAAAATTAATATCTTGACGATTAGCCAATAATGGAATATTAATTTATTACTAGTTACGTGTTTCTAGATTTTTATATGCGGCGCAATAATATTACATAATTCGATGAAGTTATAATATGAAGCCATCACGCTGATGTTGACTAAACATTTAAATCCTTTCCTGCCTATCAGATTTCATTTAATTTATGAGTAACGAGTGGTTTCTTAGGGCACTCGGTGATATCAAGTATCAAGTAGATATCCATTTGCGAGGCAAAATGACGCCGCAATTGCGAACTGTTTATTCTCGGTTTGCGGTAAGTAACGCGAATTGCTCTTCATTCCATAGCTATCTATCTGCGATCAAATAAGGCGGTCACGTTGCGTTACAACGTGGAATGGAAAAGGAGGAGCTCTAGGATAAGCCGGGTGTCTCGACGACAGTAGCATTGCGGTCTATCCACGACGATCCTGTTGGCAAATACAAGCTCGGGTTTCACTCGCGATGACGATAGCTCGAGTTTCGTCCTGGTCGTTGGCTCGCGAATGTCCCATCTGCCCCCTCCTTCTCCTCAAGAAATTCAACGGGTTTTATGATGGGTTCGCTCTTCTCAAGGTCGCCCACGTGCGACGAGAGGAGGAGACGTAGCGGAGACTGCATGCCGAAGTGTATTGCCGGAAGAAAAATAAAATTAGATGAATAATTAAAGTACATATTTAGTTTATTGCACTGTTGCATTATAGCGTTATTATCGAATGAAACGATCTCTTCTTAGATTAGAGCAGAAACGTGACGTGATCAGAAATCGGATGAGATTCTAAAATAAGAAGCAATATTATGATAATCAATGCTAAAAATTTGTATAAAATATTAAGATATTTTAAGTTACGTATTTAAATTAGTTTTAATTATCCTAAATGAATGTGAGAATTCTATTAAAAAATTCAGCAATTCCTGTAGGTATAGGCGCGGCTACTTCCAACACAGAAGCTTGATTTTGTACTTCGTATCTGAAGTTATAGATTATAGTTTGCGAAAAGAATTCGGTATCTAGAATAAGGAGGAGACGAGTCGAGGAGCACATAAGCGAGAGAGGAGTCCAGCCGCGCCGAGAGGGCGGGAACGCATTCTATACTCCACGTATAAAGTTAAGTGGCAAAGGATTTATGCCGGCATTAAAGTCCAACTGTTCGGAACAATCTGCATAACTTAGACGAGGCTGCCGAGACGCGCGTTCGGTGGCTCGGCTTCTCTCCCTTCTTCGCCTCTCTGCTTCTCTCTTCCGCTCTTCGGACCTCCGGGTCTTCTGCCTCTTCGCGGTCTTTCTCGCCGTCATATTGTTCCCCATTGACAGATACGATTCAATGGAACGGCACGGGACCGTGGTGGCCGCGAAGTTTGACGTACAAGCGCCAACCTCGCGCGCTACCACTCCTCGAGGTGCGGGGAAAAAAGAAGGTCCTGTCTCGTTGAGCCCGTCCCTTTCGATCGCCATCAGACGAGCAGAGCTAGTCAGCGAAGATGACGCGACGAAAGACGAGAGACGGGTGATCGAGTAAGTTCAACCGCATCGCCGGACAAACGAAGGCGGCCAGCCGCGGCGGCGGCGGCGGAGGCGGCGCGGTTTCGATGATACCTCGAACGGGTTCCGTTTTCTTCTTCTCGCGGACTTCTCCGTTTCTTCCTCTGCCGGGTGGAATTCCCAATAGCGAGCAGGTGGCAAGTCACGCACGTTCTAGCAATCATTCCAGGACGACGAGAAATATAATAGGATGAGATTCTCTCCTCCGGCCTTTTATTACGCTCGCGGCTCACGTTTTTGTCTTCGTCCCTTTCTTCGCTTTCTGTTGTTGCTGCTGCTGCTGCGTTTTCTTCTTGTTTTTCCGAGAATGCTCGACACGAGGATACTAGATGCGTACTCGTTCGCGCCAATGCAATGGCGCAATGTGAGATTACTATCTAGCCGTAAAACTCTTTGGAGTCTCGGTGTAAACGAGATTATTACCGCGTTAACGCCGAGCTGGGTGAAATTTATTTAGTATTGCACCCTGCTCCCGCAGAAGCTCCGTGGTTTGTTTTGCGATCGCGGTTACGGCAGTGCCACGTCGTGGAAGTGTCACTTTTCGCCTAGAGATCCGATTAAATCGACCGTTTGCGATCCTCTTGGTTGCATCGACGCTTTCAATATCCTGTCAATCGTTGAGGCGAAATATCTTGTAGCTTTCGCCCAACCGATACACTTCATTGTATTCAAAACGAATTTGATAGAAATGTGAATTACGTTGTCGTAATGCGAAACGTGACAGGATAACGATCGAGCCTACTTCTACACTGTTAAATGTATTAAACGATGAAATTTAAATCAATATTTTAAGTCCATTAGTTTAGTTAAATTAACATTGTTTTAGTCAAATTAACTCTATATTGAGCAGGAGCAGTGGCAACCTATTAGGAATGGTTAAAAATGACTTAAACTGACAAGGGAACCTCGCGAAGTGGAAAATTCTGATTTTAATGAAACTTTCCACACATGTAGGGGGAGTAAAAAGATGAATTTAGATATTTTTTGTAGCGGCCCAAAAACGGTTTTAAGGGGTGAAACCACCTCTCATATGTAGAGCGGTTTTTTGCTTTTCTCGATATATTTTGAAAAGTATTCGAGATATAAAAAAATGTTTCAAATAAAAGTTTTATGGTAAAATGTCCTCTATTCTTTGCGATATCGCATCCCGGCATTCCCGTATAGAGATTTATACTTATAAATTGCTAATTGATGAACAACTCGGCACGAAGTGGCTTAACAGAAAAAGCCCGCGTTCTCGTCGCGGGTCAGCTCTCTCGCCCACGACAGCGATGTCGATTATGCTTAATCCGCGCGAGTTTCGCATGGTCGGGTTTTACCGCGATCCGCTCGAAAGCCTTACGGTAAACATTTGTGTAATTACTTCGGTAGAATAAAAGGATATAATTATCATCGAAAGCGGGAGGCGCGGCTCGCCGATGTTAGATGGGCCTTACCTCCGCTCCCGTAGGGCCCTTCTGCAGGCCGTACGCGCATTCGTGGGAGAATTTAATCGACAGCGTCGATCGAACCAGCTGCTCCGAAAGTAGCAACTGACACGAGAAATCGAGACAATGGTAGACCACCGACGAGCGTATTTTCCATATAAGGAGCACTAACGTCGCGGTTGAGCGTTCGTTTGCGGATCCGATTCCGATTCGTGAAAAATGCGAGGAATACATTCCGCGATTGAGATTACTTCAGCGAAGTTACGCAACGAACGTTCAAGATATTACGATGCCCTACGATAATCTTTAATACTATTATATAAAGGGGAAAAGTTTATTTGTACCATTGTTCGGGGTAATCTTAGAAACTACTGAATCAGTTTCAAATATTTTTACACTGATGGATAGCTTATGTCTTCCTGAGTAACATAGGCTATGTGCCATTGTGCTACAACCCAATTGGCAATTTGAAAAAAAATTCGGGATATCTAAAATTTTAAATTCTTTAAAAGAGTCGTACTTAATGACTTTTCCTGTTCAGATTTTCCTAATCAACCAAATCTTAAAGTATTATATATAAAATATAGGTAGAAAAAAGTGAGGAATATAATAGAATTCAAAAAATTGCTAATAATAAAAGAGTTACCGATTTCTGTTTAAAAAAATCTATGTGATTGCTCTGATTTCCACAAATTAGCTATTTTTTTATGGATAGAGTATCATTAAAGGGAGGTTGGTATTGAATTTGGCGAGGATCGGTGAAGGAGTTACCGATTTTTGCTTGAAAAGTGTATAAGTTATACATGTAATTTTATATAGAGTATCATTAAAGGAAGGTTCGTATTGAATTTGGCGATGATCGGTGACCTAGACAGCACACGGATATCCGATGAACATCCATAAGACGCACGGAAAAAAAAATTTGGTTGAAATAATTGGAAATCTGGTTGAAACAACCTGACTGTTTGGTGAGAAATGAACGATCCATAATTTTTTTTAAAATAACCAGACAAATTTGGTTAGTCGCATTCTGGTTGAAGTAACCGGACAAAATTGGATTAGAACAACAAAACGTTTGATTGTAATACGATGACAATATCTCATTAATGTAACCAGACTTTTTGTTCGATGAACAACTGCAATCTGGTTCATTTATCCAAATAGTAAGGTTAATATAATTTTATGCATTATTGCTTTACGTTTATTTTCTACTTGCATTAAACGAATAATACAACCTTATTAATGAAACATTATATAAACCTTATATAAACCTTATATAAACATTATATAAACCTTATTAATGAAACATTATATATTACTGTTGCATAACTTTCCTTATAGGTATAAACTTAGCTTTAACATCGCACGTATCTTTTGTAATATGACCTTGAATGAGCTTCTCATCAAAGCGACTTCCAACTATATAATCTATTGCCTCTATATAATGTCCACTGTTCTTCATTTTTTGCAGTCTTTGGTATTCTGTTTCCATATTTCTAAAAGGTTCTTTAAGAATTTCCAATCCTTTCTCTATCGCAGTCAATACATCTTCACTCAAGATCACATTTTCCAAATTGTTTCTAATTGAAGGTATTAAAAGTGACGAAATGTTATTGAGAAGATCATGGGTTTCATCCACTATGTTTTGAACAATACTACGTGGAAGACTTGGAGTGGCATAAAGCTTAGTTATAAAATACAAAGCAAAGTCTTGTACCGTAATCAAAATATTTTCATCGTTTTCGGAATTATCACTATTGATCGCATTCTGACAATCAGCTACAGCGACTATCTTCATATCTTGATCATGAGGCATGCTACCACAATCAATATCTAGATTTGTTTCAGATCTGTTAGTAGAATGTGATATGGCGGGAACTTTATGAAATGAAATCAAGTGTCTACGAAAGGCACGCCATCCTTTAAAATCTCTACAACATTTTTCTTCTTGACACATAATTTTTTTATTTACATGCCATCGATGACTCATTTGAATATGAAGATAGAGTGCTTTAACGGACGGAAATGGATCATGCTTACAATCTTTTATAATACAGCGAGACATGATAACATTCATCACAATGACCATGTATTAAAATTAAAACTTGCATTAACCAAATTAAAGAAAAAGGAACTATAACTGCTTCTTTACAAACTGTCGAAGAATACTAAATAAAATAAACTAGTAAATAAAATATAATAATTCTCTCACGAGACAACTCAAGTCATTTATATAGAGTATATGTTATATATCAAGAAAGCCATAAAAATAAAATAATAAATTTTTCCAAAATTTGTAATATTAAACTTATAATATTACCTTGTTACAAAAGAAAACAAGTTAAAAAACATTATTTTTCGGATAAACATTTTAATTGCTTACTCACTTGAGGTATTGTTTTGTCCCACTGTGTACGTAAGTCATACAATGCCAATTGCAAAAAATACCAGATAGCCTCACTCTGAGGAGAATATTCGGCATGCAAAGCATGTACGCATTTAAAACATACATCCACTGCCGTGCGAATGTTATCAAATCTATAATAGTTCTTATCAATTACTACATAAAAATCCTTGCACAGTGATACAGTAGGTCCGACAGCGATAACAAGTGGTTGAATTTTGGTTTTCATGTGTTGAGCTCTGCTTCTAATTCGTTCTACATTTGGCACCAAATCATTCATTACCTGAATAAAATAACTTTGTAAGAGGACAAATACAAACATTAAATAAAATAAAATAAATAAAAAATAAACAAACATCTTTGTTAATGTTTGTCGCAAGTATACAGTTTAAAATAATTTACCTTCACATGAAGAATGAATCCATTTATCATTTCCTGGGTAGTAGGTTTCCATCTCTTTCCATTTGTTAGTGGTACAGGAACTGGACTAAAGAGATGTCCCAATTTTAAGAAAAGATTTAAGTGACAATTATCTAAAAAAGCAAAGTAAATTTTTTAATAATAAAGGTTAACAGAGATAAGGAAAAGTACCAATAATATTAAAAACAAACAAATTAAACACATTTGCAACGTGAGATGTGTAATCTTATGTACTTAATACTTATATACTTAATATCTAGCAATAAGTAATATATTGTTTCAAAATCATTCTATATAGATATATATAATAATGTTACCTTCCAAAGACAATAGTAATGATGCTTTTCTTGCAAACTCCGTCCATTTACTCCACATTCGCGTATCGTAATCAGGATATAATTTCTTAAAATCGGCTAGAAGCTGAAAAAGGAAAAAAATAATGAAAAACTAATCTCTAATTATCCTAAAGTAACATCTCTCTATTGTTGCAGATTTACGCACTTATATAAAAACTTACTAATTTGTAGCCAGTTGTCAGTTGAAGAGCACCGTATTTTATGATATAATCATAAGGCCGCGCCGGCCGCGGGGGTGCTACACGTCGTACGTCGTACGTCGCCGTCGCCGTTGCCGTCGTGGCCGCGCGCACACACGTCGTTCTCGTCGCCGCCACTCCAGAAGACGA